CACCGCTGTTCGAAGCACCAAAGAACAGCAGTGATCTAAGGCAGGATTTCATTTATTTGTTGTTTGAGGGTTTTTGTCCACCCTCGAGTTGCAGTGACTTATTGTTTAGTGGCTATCTTGCCAGAGTATTAAGAAGGGAGTCATTTCCTGTATTTCCATAACCAAGTAGGTATATTTGTGCATCTGAAAACCTGATGAAATCACAGCAGAGACATGTTTATTTTGATAAAAATGTATAAGAGAATTACCAAGTAGGTGAATAAGACTAAGTTCTGCTTTTGGGTGTCACCACAGACTTGACACTGGTGGATGGTGTTACTAACCAGTTGAGCTAATCTGTATATGGATTTTTCAAAAAATGAAAGAGGAAAAGGTATGATGGTCATTATTTCTGATATGATATGATTGTGTTCCTTTTATGCCCAGGTAACTGCCCTCTGACCCTTTTTACTACTTTACCAGGCTGCTGGGAGTCCTTAGCTTGGTACACATGGATGATGTCTCCTGTCAGGCTTTCACAGTTAGGCATCCCCAGCATCCCACACTCCCTTCATTCTTGCACTTTCTTCCGCAGCTTCAGACTTCATGGAATCCTGCAGCAGAGACTCCAGCTTCCTTTTTTCTCGTGCTGTGGAAAGCACAATAATCGGGTAAGATATAAAAGGGAAAAAAAACAACTCATCAGTAGAAGGACCTGCTGTGAATTACCAGCTAACTTGTTTTACATTCTCACTGGCATTGTGCAGTAACTAGAAGGCAAATTTTCTGGATTTCCCTATCGCAGAATACTTGCTGTATGTAGTCATGTGCTGTACAGGCTCTGGAGGAGGGGATTTCTAATAAGAAAAGGGGAAATTCACCTGAACCTGATCTAGACTTCCAGGATGTCTGCAGGCTAGAGGTAACCATGCTCCAGGGAGGGGGTTTTGTGGTGGTTAGTCTGACAAAGTACCCAGGGAACTAGGGTAGTGGTAGTTTCACAATCTGCTACAAGGAGTTGGTGGTTTGATTACAGAAGAAAATTACACTGTGTGGAAGATGAAGAATATTGCTAAGCTGTTTAAGGCAATGCACACAAATTACAAGCAAATTGTGATTGGTTTGCACTGAGGGTTTTATCTCTCTCTTGGTCAACAGGTGCTATGGAGAGATATTTAGAAGGGAAAGTCCATGCAGTGAAAGGAAAAAAAAGGTTAGTTTTGTCTCCCTGGGAAGGAGAGTGACTCTGAGTAAAGGAGTCTTGAATCAAGAGTTCTCTCAGAGCAGATGAAAGCTTAGACTGCCTACAAAGGTTATCAGCAAAATTATATTTGATTTCTGATGGATTATAGTGCAATTCTTAGAGGAATTAGCTACATTGTAACAAGGCAGACTTTTTCTGAGGGCAAAAAGGAGAAGGGGCCTTTCTGGCCTTGATCCTTTTCTAATTCTAGATTAAATTACTTTTTCCCCAAAAGGCTTGTGGAAGTTCAGACTGCTCTCCCTGCCTGGGCTCTTAGCACCCTTACTGCTACTGGTATTTTGTAGAAATTACCTGAGCAGACTGCTGCTAGAGATGGAGCTGGACAACTGCTTCCCTTGGGGAGTAGTGAGAGGTACTGGGAAATAGGAGGTGCAGTCATCTCCGATTGGCATACTTAGGAAAAACAGCAGTAAACCAAATAGATCTGTTTTAGCAATAAGTGTAGTCAGATTTGTAATAAGTCTAGGTAGAAGCCAAGGTGACTTCACACAGGAAGGGTTCTGTTAAGAGTATCAGTTACAAGCTAGGAGAAAGTAAAAAATTTTTATTTATATTTTTCTGGGTTAACTTTCATTATTCCAGCTTCCTTCCTTTACGACTCTTTTCTTAAAATCAGAAGGTAGTGTTCTTAGGCTGAGATGGGGGCAGATTTTTACAATTAAAAGTAATTTCCAGTTTCTTATGGTAAATACCTGCAAAACTTGACAGTGTTGTAAAAAATGTCTTGGGAACACAGTTTCTCCTTATGCAGTAGGAACTCGCAAGACTGAACAATATTTGAGAAGCTCTATAGTACTAATGTGCTGGGTTTTTTAATTAATTAGTTTAAAGAAAAGGCTTTGTTCACTGTGTTCAGTGACCTTCTCCCGCCCTCTCCGCCTCCTGCAGCATTCGGGTGCGAGGTCTCTGCCGAGTGCCAGCCGCCATCCACGGCGTTGCTCAGTGTGCGTCGCTGAAACACTCTCCGGCTTGTGCTTTTCTGCTGAAATGTTCATATGGCTTGCAGGCTGTAACGAGGAACGGAATTTCCTTCACTTGGAACTACAGTTAATAACTACAGAGGGGTGAAACATCTTCAGCAAAATCAAAACACCACCCTGGCTCCTAATGGGCCTGCTAAACACTGCGTTAATGAAATGAGCGACACTCTAAACCTGCTACTAATAGAAAAATGCAGCATTTTCTTTAGCTATTTTGCACCTAACTAAAAATAGCTAAAATTCTAAAATCGCTAACTCTCCGTAAGGCCCAAGTCATAGAGTTTTGACTTCTAAATCCATTTCTCAGCATCTCAGGTGGGGGTTTCAAAAGCACATAAGCAATCAGAGCTTCAGTCTTACAAACTCCTTTAAACAACATGGGCTTGCTAAAAACAGTCCCGTTAGGCATTTGCAAGCTTACATCTGTATGTGTGCTTCCACCTGCTAATTTTGTAACTATAGGAAATTAAAAAGTCTTAACTGTGGTCATCCAAGGCTGAGCATGTGGCCAAATACTACCTGGAATTACGTAGACCTTCCCAACACTTCAAAGGGCTCTTGTTTTGCAAAATACATTACTAGTCCTATGTTTCTGATAAGTGAAACCAGAGAAATTGTCATAGCCTAATGTGGTCTCAGAGATTAGACATAGTCTGAAACTAAGGTCGGTTTTCATGTGGTGTCTTGCTTACAGCTGAAGTGCTGTGTGCTACCTGCTCTGCAAGTATGTGGATATTGTGTGCACAACAGTTTGACATGAAGAGAATAATCATCACTGTTTCCTCAGTATTAATCACTTTGAAATAATTCGCTCTTGCATTAGGCTGATGTTTTGTCAGTCTTGTGTAGTCACACAATTCAGTGCACTTTGATGTTTATAAATAAGAAAATTCAAGGAGGGAGATCCCAGCTTGTCAATGAAAAAGCAACTCATACTCAGTAGGGCCAGGATTCACCCACAGAATTCAAATTAAGCAAGACTGGAGAACAATATTATAAGTAAGAGTGAAAATAAAAGTGATAGCCAAGCAGATAGAGAATATAGCTTGAAGCCATGGACATCACGTTTTGGGTTTTGGACCTTGTCCCTCCTCCTGTTTGCAACTAAGAATGAAGCCAAGGCAAAAGGCACCTGACGTAGGTGCCCAGGTTGCACAGCACTGTTGGAGCCTGCTCTGATGGCTGCTGCCATTTCCCTGCCACGGACCCCAATAACAAATCCAGGCTGACTGCAGGCTGGAAGTGTGTTTAGCATGCAAGACTCAGAGGCCGGGCTGCTGTTGTGACTCATAGGTTTACTAAAAAGATTGCTCTTAGTTTTAGAAAGAAAGGCATCGAAAAACAAATGAGTGGATAGCACTTGATAAGCTTTCAGATGTCAACCGGGCACTCTTGTGATGGTTCTACAAAGCACCACTATGCTTCTGCATGATTGCTGGGGGTAGGGGAAGATTATTAAGTCAATATACAAATTAATATATATAATGGGTATATGTAGGAATGTACAGTATAGGACAAGTGCCCATGTGTAAATTGGAAATACCGGGTCTACTGTGTTCTCATAGCACTTTTGTGCCTTGCCTGGCTGGACTTTCTTACAGCTGCATTTCCAGTGCCTGACATTGAGGTTCCCCAGTTGTGTCTGTGACAGCCTGTACTGGCTCAGAGAACATGCTGAGAACATCATCCTCAAGCCCATGTAAGTATTTCAAAATGATCCCTTTAATGCTCAGACACCAACCACTGTCCCTTTAAATGGCAAGTACTGTATTTGTGATAGTAGTAGTTGGCAGTAAACAGATAACTAATAGTAATTATTCCCCCTCACCCTAGGAATGCAGAAGGTCCTTTGCCTTAGAACCTGTGTTTCTGGGTGCAGACAAGCAGGCAAAAAGGGCATTGTTACCCTGCTGAGTTTGCTTGGGAAAGCAATGCAAAAGCGCAAGCAGGAGCAGACACAGTGTGCAAAACTGCCTTGAATTTTGATGATCAACAGGTTTTGATTTGGGGCAGGTGTCTTGGCAGTGTCAAGTCAACAGGGAGGGACCTCCAAGCCTTGAGAGCCCAGCTGTTGACCTGCTATCCTGGTAAGCGTATGGCCGCACAGCAGAGCCTCCACCAGCCTTATCTTACCCGAGCTCTGCTTCATGAAAGCTTCAGGCCTGAGCCTCTGCCCTGTCCCTGTGCCGGGGGGAGCTCTGCCCTGCTTGTCCCTCGGCCGGTGGTGTGGGAGCCCTGGGGAGCGGGAACAGCTCCTGACGGTGCTTGTCTAGGAGGAACGCTGATGGAAGTTAAGGGGGAAGAGACTTGGTGGGAGCCGTCAGGAACGGAGGAAAACCAAAGCCTGTGTTCCTACAGCGCCTTGCCCACAGACGCCAAGCCTGTGCCACTGCTTCATGCCGAGCTGGAACCGCAGGTGCAGAACCCCAGCGCCCATTTAGGAACCCCGGGGGGGGGGGGGGGGGGCGCCTGCACCTGATGCTGCAGCACCGGCACCCCAGCACTCCCTTCGTCCCAGGGTCCCTCCTGCTCCGCGGCAGCCCCAGCGCCTTCCCCGGGGCGGCGGGGCGAAGCTGAAGGTCTGTGTGCGCGGAGGGCCCCGGCCCTGCGGGCGCCGCGGCGGAGGCAGCGGGGCGGGAGCCGCCGGAGGGGGAAGGGGCCGGGCCCGGTCGCGGCGGCGGGCGCCATGGCGGGGCGGGCGGCGCCATGTCGGGGGCAGCCCTGAGGGAGCGGCGGCGGCGCGGCCCTCTGCGTGGTGCGGGCGGGCCGCCCCCGCCGCGGGCCCGCCTCGGCCGCGGCCGCGGTGAGGCGGCGGGCGGAGATGAACGGGTCGGGGCGGCTGCCGGCGGGGGGCGAGGAGGAGCCCCCCGGCGCCTCGCTGCTGCCGCTGGGCGGGAACGGCAGCGCGGGCGGCGGCCCCGGGGAGCTGCGGGAGGGGACCCACGCCGCCACCCTGGCGGCCTGCGCCTCCCTGCTGGCTCTCGTCTTCTGCCTGGGCTCCTACGGCAACCTCATCGTCCTCCTGTCCTTCTTCGACCCGGCCCTCAGGAAATTCAGGACCAACTTCGACTTCATGATCCTCAACCTTTCCTTCTGCGACCTCTTCATCTGCGGCGTGGCCGCCCCCATGTTCGCCTTCGTGCTCTTCTTTGACTCAGCCCGAGGCATCCCGGGCGCCTTCTGCTTCACCTTCCACCTCACCAGCTCCGGCTTCATCATCATGTCGCTCAAGACGGTGGCGGTCATTGCCCTGCACCGGCTGCGCATGGTGCTGGGGAAGCAGCCACACCGGGCTGCCTCCTTCCCCTGCACCCTCCTCCTCACCCTGCTCCTGTGGGCCACCAGCTTCACCCTGGCCACCCTCGCCACCCTGAAAACCCGTGGCTCCCGTCGCTGCCTGCCCATGTCCAGCTTCACCAGCGGCGAGGGGAAGGTCATCCTCTACCTGTACGTCACCGACTTCATTTGCTGCGTGGCCGTGGTGTCCGTCTCCTATGTCATGATTGCCCAGGCCCTGCGGAGGAACGCCCAGGTGAGGAAATGCCCACCCATGGTGGCTGTGGACGCCTCCAGACCACAGCCCTTCGTGGGGCCCGCAGCCGCCCGGGCTGGGGAAGGCAGGCAGAGCACCGTGCCCGCCTTGTACAGGAACCAGAGCTACAGCAAGCCGCAACATGTCCAGACGCACGGCTACACCAACCACCTCAGCCAGCCGCTGGCCACCGCTGCCAGCCGGCTCCAGCTGGTGTCAGCAGTCAACCTGTCCACGGCCAAAGACTCCAGGGCGGTGGTGACGTGTGTCGTCATCGTGCTGTCCGTCTTGGTTTGCTGTCTCCCCCTGGGCATCTCTTTGGTGCAGGACATGCTGTCCAGCAGCGGTGGCTTTGTTCTCTACCAGTTTGAGCTGTGTGGGTTTACTCTCATTTTTTTCAAATCTGGATTAAATCCTTTTATATATTCCCGCAACAGTGCCGGACTTCGGAGACGAGTCCTGTGGTGCCTGCAGTACGTAGCCCTTGTCTTTTTCTGCTGCAAGCAGAAGACGAGGCTTCGGGCCATGGGCAAAGGCAGCCTGGAAGTCAACAGGAACAAGTCATCCCACCATGAGACCAATTCAGCGTACATGTTGTCTCCAAAACCTCAGAAAAAGTTTGTGGACCAAGCTTGTGGTCCTAGTCACTCCAAGGACAGCGTGCTGAGTCCCAAGGCTTCTGTCGGGCATCAGCACTATGCACAGAGCAGCTCGACCCCCATGAACACCCGAATCGAGCCCTATTACAGTATCTATAACAGCAGCCCTTCACAGGAAGTGAGCACTCCAAATAGCTTACAGCCGGTGAACTCGACTTTCGGGTTTGCCAAATCCTACATTGCCATGCATTATCACACCACCAACGACTTGGTGCGAGACTATGACAGTGCTTCGACTAAGCCGATACCAGTACCCTCGGTGTAACCGTAAGAAAGGGTTCTGATCTAGCTGATCCAGTGGGTCCCCTTCTTTGCTTTTGTTAATGATTATTCTAAATTATACAGTATTGCTGTACTGATGTTAATTAAGAAAAATGCCAGTACTGTTAATATCCAGCTATTTGCATTTGAAGTGAATACAAAGATAGTACCTCCGTGATGCCTTTTTGAATTTATGTGGCAAGTCAAAAAGGGCAGTGTTTTAGATTTGTATTTGGAATTGTTACACTAGGGTGGTTTTGTTACTAAATTTTACTGCTGGGCAAGTAAAGAATAGAGCATTATAAAGTTCATTACTTCACAGGTCAGAGTATCTCGGAGAACAATCTGAGGCTGCACCAGTAGCAGTATTACCTGTTAAATTTCATACTTGCTGTATTTTCAAGAGGAAAGAACTGGGATGATGCTTGGTATTGCAATACTTAAGTTTAAATTCTACCCTTGGCAGAAGGTTGAAAGAATTCGTGGTATTTTGTTGTAACAAGTGTCAGTAATAACAGAAGTCCTTTCTATTTGCAGGGTGAAATCCTGGTTCCATTGAGGTAAATGACAAAATTTCCATGAACTTCAACTGCAGTTTAGGATTTCAGTCTTGGTTTCCTAAAGCATGACAGGGCATTTTGCAAACAGTTATACTGCCACTGGGGAAGGACTTTAGAGAAGTGTTGTGGCACTGTAATAAACTTCTGAAGTATATATATATATTTTAATTTCTGCTGTACATTTATTTTAAGGATTGGTGGCTCTGTGTATCCCAGAATAATCTATTTGGAGAAGTATTTTACATCTGATAGAAGTAACTGTGCAATACCTAAGTATAATTTTTACCTGAGGATAAAGGTGATTATTGCAATATTATAGTACTGATACCCTGTTAGTGATGCAGTCACCTCTGGAATTTTTTAATTTGTAAACTGTTACGCAGAATAGTGTTACTGGTTGCTTTTTTGTCTATGACTTTGTATAAAAGTGGGACTTGGGGGGATTCGGCTGTGGTATTCCTGACAGGTAGAACTAGCAGCTATTAACATTTTTAAAAACAGAATGACCACGTAACAAGATGACTACAAGTTTTTGAGGTTCTCTTAAGAAGCCTAACATAAGTTTGATTTAAAGATTAATAATCTACTTACAAACTTTATCTGTTGGTCTACACAGTGAGCAAATAACAGAAGTTAAATATTTTTTTATAAATCTGACCATTTGTATTGTGTCACGTGTTGTGGGAATTCTTTATGAAATGGAATGATTCGAAGGCATTTAAACTCCTGACAATTAATGCGTTAAGTGGCCAGGTCTTTTCAAAACAAGCAATCACCTTTTGACTTCTGTGGAGTTCAGTAGAGCCATAGTATCTCCGAAATAATCATGCCACAGACTTTTTGTGCCTCGTTATAGGAAAATGCCACTTCTTTAGTGAAATGACAGTCATGGAAAAAGGAGTTGTTACTTTAGAAACAGAAAAACATTCACATCATTGCCGTGAGTTGTTGGTTTAGGCTATTTGTTAACTAAACCATTTTAAAGATTTTCCTGGAAGACTCTCACGTTATGAACATTGTTCTTTGTTTAACACTCTGAATTTTAATTAATTTTGAATAATTCAATACAGCTTTCTTGCAATAAAATGGATGTGAACAACTTTCTAATACAAATGTAAATTGAAATTATTTCCGTATGTCTTTTCTCTCTGCCCAGATACTTTTCTCTACAAATGAATAACATGGTTCTTTCTAAAGTAACTATAAAAGATAACAAAAAAAAAAATCTGTTTTGTTTGTTTTTTCTGTCTTTGCATTTCTTATTAGTGCAAAGTGTAATTTGGAGGGAAAAAAAATAGGTGGGACCCTGCCATTTTGTCTCAAACTATATGTTCTTAGCAGCAATTACAGTTTCAGATTGTAAGGAGTATAGGGTAGGACCCCAAAGGTGGTTGCAAGATGGGGTACTCTATGTACTTGAAGGGAGTTGAAGATAGGCATTAAGACTGGTTTTAACATTAAGCAGTTTTGGCGTTTGCTGCACGTATGTATGGCTCCTGCTGTGCTTTTGGTTTGGTCCATGTGAACTTCATCCCATGACAGAAGATTAAATGTAATTGCCTCACACCTTATAAATGTAATTTGAATTGAGTGTTCATGTTGGGAGTCAAGCAAGAAGGGTGCAGCTTTAGGACAGAAGGAGGTTTTATTGCCTTTACAAGATAAATTATTAAGACAAAAGAACTCAAGTTCCTTCAAAGCACTTTGTAATGTTGTTCTGTTAACTCCTGGTGCCAGTTGTATTCTTAATACAAGCAATGTGTTACTATGTTTATAGTGCCAGACAGGAAAGCACAAGGCCTTGTAATCTGCAGTAGGAACAAAATCTGATTGAAGTTGTCATTTGTACTAAATAACTGTTTCGGGGGAGGTTTATGGATGTAGTTAATAGAGATTGGGTTTAGAAAATACGGAGGTACAATTTCTTTGAAGCAAATCATGAACTGAAGTAACCAGTTATGGTATGATAAAATAATTGGTTTAGAGTCTTCAGGAGTATAACTTTTCTTTTTTCCTCTAGCCCCCTTGTTGTATCACAACCATTTTCTGCTGAGCACAGAACCAGTCAAGCATGACTGTGAGGTTAAGAAAGCAGCCATCTCATTGAGAGGGGAAGCAATGGAGTGCTGGACGAAGGAGGTGGAAACTGTCTGTGAAGAGAGGAGACGGGTAAGAGAGGAAGCAATGAAAGCTTGTGTCGTGGTTTCAACCCGGCTGGAGCCATGCACCCTGCAGCCGCTCGCTCACCCTCCCCTGCCCAGGGCATGGGGGAGGTAATTAGAGGGATGCAGGTAAGGAGACTCGTAGGTTGAGATAAGAACAGTTTAATAATGGAAATAAAATAGATTAATGTAGAAATAATAATAGAAAATACAAACGGGTGGTGCACAATGCGATTGCCTGCCACCCACAGACCGATGCCCAGCCTGTTCCTGGCTAGCGATCCCAGAGGAGATCCCGAAAACCACAGTCCTGGAAACGAGAGCCCCACGCTTCCCGGGCAGACCTCACTTACACACTGACCATGACGCGGTATGATACAGAACATTCCCTTGGCCACTTTGGGTCTGGTGCTCTGGCCATGCTCCTTCCCAGCTTTGTGTGCACTTGCACCCAGGCAGGACACGGGGAGTGGAAAGGTCCTTGATTTCTTGGCGACAGCTGAAAACATCAGTGTAGTATCAACATTCTCATACCTAATCCCATACTGAATCCAAAACACAGCACTGTTCGAGCTACTAAGAAGAAAAATTAGCTCTATCGCAACCTAAACCAGGACAGTATGTGAATACTGACTGGTTTAGGAAAAGTAGCTCTGCGGTTAGTGCCGTCTGTAACACAAGAACAAGAAAGGATTTCAAGAATGTGGAAGGTGGCAAATCCAAGACTCAAAGTGCTGAACTTTCCTTACTGCCCGTTCATACGCTGTGGACCTCATCGCTGCACAACTGTGTAGATGAAACTAGGAAGGTTTAATGGGTGCTTCACATGGGTCATACAACTACTGGGAGCCTGACAGTTAATGCCGACATGTTTTGGAATATCTGTAAACTTTAGTAATTAAAGCAGTCTTTGATTTCTGGGGTTAGGATGAACCCATCATGGTGGAACATGTTATTCAACGTATGTCTTCAGGGTGCTTTTCAGCTTCTTCCGAAGTTGCTGGAGATGGCCACGGTTGCAGTATTTGGCCCAGGGACTGTTCGTTTTTGAAAATCGGTGTTTGTGGTGTTAGGTGTACTGGCAACAGTTTGACCAGGGTATCTTGTGAAATAAGGAGCAGCCTCAAAGAAAGCATAAAGAAGCTTACTAGAAAATCAGCTGATTAATTACTTGGGGCTGATCTCACTAACAAGTGACTTCTAGTTGTGTATGTGAATAAAAGTGTTTGAAAGATTTTATAATTCACAGTCTTTTTAAGTCATAGATCTCACTTTGTGGTGATGAGTTGACTTTTTCAGCTGGTGGCCTGCAGTATAGTATTTTTTATCCTTTATATATAAAAGCTAGGAGCTGCTAATACCAAATAATTTTAAAGAATATCTACACAATCTCAAAAAGTTGATACAGAATGTTCAGCAGTTGGGCACCACCTCAGAACTTTTTAGTCTAGAGAGATTTCTCCAAAGCGGTATACGTTTTTTTTTTTTTTTTTCTAAGTCACAGAGCCAGTCTGTTTTAGCAGTAAGGCTTCAGCAAGCTGGGGAGGGCAAGAAGGAAAAATCGGACAGATGACAGTCAGGAAGGATCAGCACCTAATAATTTTGTGCCATCTTGTGATATTTTATGGAATGTATGGTTTAGGTATATAATTTGTCACTTGTTAGGAAAGTTGTGAAAATTATCCCCCATCTAGTTTTCAGTAACCTTCCACTTGCAGGACAGGGAATAAAAAGTAAAGGGATTTTAAATTAAAAAAAAAATAAAAGGGGCGGAGGGAGCTTTAAGTAAAGCAGGGTTGCAGAGAGCAGTGTAAGATGTTCACGATGGAAACAAAGAGAAGGCAGGTGGTAGATTAAAATAACAGAATAGTCTTGCAGGCATTAAGGTGGCATCCTATGGACAATTTCTAGGTTTGCCTTCTGTCTGTTTTCAATGGGGTTTTTAAAATGTTTTCTTAAAGTATTTAAGAGGAGCGTGCCTGCACCGATGCCACAGGTGGATGGAGGATTACACCAATGGTCCTGCTGCTGAGTGCTGGTAAGCGATTCTGCTCGTGCTGTGCACAGCAGGAACAGGGTCCCTGCTCGCTCTTTCACCAGTTAGCTGGCTGCCAGGCTGACAGCAGGTTAAAGAACAGGAAAATAATTCAGTTTTCACAACAGTCAGTGTACATTACTCCTCAGGCTTGCTGAGGAAAGATGAGTTTGCGCAGCGTGCCAGGAGATCTCTCTGTAAACAGAGATGGTAGAGGAGGGTGAATCCTCCTCTGCTCTTCTTCACTTACACCGATGGAAAACTGGAGAGTCGGCACCGTGGGACAAAGTGGGGAGAGGCAATTTCAAAGAACTTCTGGGTTTGTGAGCACTTGTCCTGTCCCGTGGTGCAGTTGATGCAGATAGCTTTGATTTGAATGGCTGTTTGGTTATTGTCAAGTTCAAGCACTGCACTTCATGGATATACCAAGTACAGTATCCTGCAGTTTAATCAGTACTGGCAAATTGGCTTTGTTACTGTGTGCTGATAACAACGGGTCATCGTCAATTCCTATTTAAAATGAGTTTATGTTTAGTATTAGGAAAATGTTTTCATTCGTTACAAAACCTGTCCCTGAACCTTGGTCCCAAGAGTCAAACAGGTGATGAGCTGCAGTGTGGGGTTTTCCCTTTTCACTAGGAAGCAGCATGGGGAGGGTGAAAACCAGGTACCGCTCCAGTTGGATCTTTTCCTTTTCAAAATACACTGCAGAAGAGTTGCATTTGCTGATATCTCCTTATGTTTGTTTCATGTTTCCCCTTTGGGCATCAAATACATAGGTTGGTATTAGTCTTATTTTGCCCCAGCAGAGCTAATTCCTTTTCAGAGTACGTGTTTCAAACGCGCTGTTCCAGATGTTGTACATAGACATTCTGCATTCCTGGGCCTGTGGTGATGTGCTGGTAAGTCATTTGGGTTTGCTCTTCTTATGCTACACTGTATGATTTGTTCTCACCTGGTATTTGTCTCCCGTCACAGTCTGTTGATTTTCCTTGACTGTGAAAATTAGGTTAGCTGATTTTTTAAAATTATTTTTTCAAATACAATAAATTATTAAGTGATGACAAGGCCTATACAAAGGTAGTGCCGAATTCATTTGGAAATGGGTGAGGGTGATTGTGTCAAGTGAAACTTTTATAAGACTAAATAATATACAGAACTTTCTTGCTTATTCTTCAGAGATTTATGATACCAGCATTTAAATAAAGCTCAAACCAATTATTTAAGAGTAGAGACTGACATGCTCACCTGGATCTTTTTTGATTATTTGGTTGTATATGTTAATCTGTAATTACAGCAGATTTTAAAGTCTGATTTCTTTCACCAGTTACTGAAACCCAGTGATGTAGCAGTGTGGATTTGCAATTGCATCTCTTATATGGCTATATTAAGTAAATATTTAATATTTTCTCGCTAAACCACAGAAAGAAGCTGTTACCTGTGTACTGTCACGGTTTGCATTTTTCTTAAGTGTAAAGTGTATGTTCCCATCTTACGCTGTACTAGAACTGAGAATCAGAACTACAACCTTACCTGCGAGTGACATTGCTTTTCACTGCAATAATCTCAAAAAGACAGTTAGGACATGCAGTGTGACTCAAGCTGTTCTTCCTTTCAGGTGACATCCACAGCATTTTAAGAAATGCTGGGAGTAGCTGAAGGAAGCCAAGCACCTGGGAAGAAAAGATCAATGCTCAGGTCTCAGCGCTTTGGGTAACGGATTCTTTTATCGGACAGAATAATGCGCACGCTACAAACTCACTAGTAACCTCTCCTGGGGCTGATCTGCAACAAACCCTCACTGCAACACAGCAGCCTTTGCAGGAGGTAAACACAGAAATGCTTTTATTTGACCACTGACTTTCCAGGCACAACCTTTACACGTTTTTGTACCTCACTCCATCTCATACACCTCCTGAGCAGATCCGTTTTCTGCTCTCACAAGTGGTTCATTGGTTGTTTTTAAGACAGCTGCTAGCTGATGCCAGAACATTTTCTGTTTGTGTTCATCAGGGCTCCACTTTAAGTAGGTTTTCCTTTTCAGCAGTTTCCTGAGTTTACTGAACTTCTGCGGCACACTGTTGGGCGGGAGGTCTTCCAGCACAATCATGATGAGGGAATCCTGATTTTCATTCAGGACGCGGTGTTCAGCAAAATACAGTTCATACTGACACCAGCAGCTGTTCACAAAACTGGGAGAGAGAACAAAAAGGACTTTATGACTGTTCTCTATGCAGTAAAAAATGTTACCGAGTACGGGATGCCCCGGTTTGAAATCCCTCTCGTGGTAACATATCTTGAATCCATCAGTTTCCAGTTTTTCCAGTAGATTCTCTTTCGTCCAGTTCGCATCTTGCTCGCTGTATGAAATGAAGGCATCGAAGGGCTTGTTTTCTGGCCTCTTCTCGTACTGCTTCCTCTTCGCCATGCACCAGTACCAGCCCATCCTCACGTACCACAGCCCGTCGAACCGCCAGCATAAGCTTGTCAACACCAGAACCACCAGGATGGCAACGCAGGCGGTAACAGCCATCTGGATGCCCAGGGAGCAGTGCAGGAGCGTGAGGTTGCTGCTCTCCACCAGCGAGCCCCTTCTGTCTGGTGGGAAGCTGCACCTGAGGCTTCCTTTGCCGTTTATCTGCAAGTCGGGGTTGTGGATATAGACATTTATGAACCAGTACAAGTCGCAGTTACAAAAAAAATGTTTGCCTTGAACAGTCAAAACGCTCAAACTCGTTAACTGGCCAAAAGTGTCCTCCACTATGGTGGTAATGGCGTTGTCGCTAATGTCTAACTCAACCAGAGAAGCTGGGAGAGAGCCACGCTGTAGGAAGGAGATCTTATTCCCTGACAAATTGAAATATTTCAGCATTGGAAGAGATTTCCCAAAGTGATCAGGGAGTTCTGAAATTAGGTTGTGACTGCTGTCCAGATTAGTGAGCGCAGAAAGGCAGCTGGCAGGTTCCACTCTGGTGATTAGGTTTCCCGAAATATTAAGATACTCGAGTTTCTCCAGGGCATCAGTTAATGACAACATGTTCAACTTATTTTTACTAATATCACATTTCGTTATGGTCATCGGGAAATACTCAGGATGCATAGCTGTGACTTTATTATTTTGAATATTAAATATTGTTAAGTTGTAGAGAGTTTTAAAACTAGGGGGTATTATTTTAATATCACTGTTGCTTATGTCGAGGTGCTGCAGGGAGGTAGGTAAGTCAGGAAGCACAGAAATCCGGTTGCTGCTGAGATCCAAAAATATTAATTCTTCCATTGTGCCAACAAACCACTCTGGCAGTTCTACAATGGAGCAGTTGGACATTTTCAGATGTTTCACTTTCTTTGGAAGGCTTTCAATGGGTGTACCAGCCTGGTTTCTGACCAGAGAAATGGCATTAATACGTACACTTCCAGAGGGAAACGTTGGAACTGCATTAGCGTTTTCTGGACGCACAGTATATATGAAGTGATTTCCTTGAACATACATGTTTTCTAAGTTAAACATTTTTTTAGCAAAATTTTGGGGTATTTGACTTATGTTGGTGAAGGACAAATCAATTACCTTGATGGTTGAAGGGAGACACAGCGTGTCCAAGCTGTTTATGGGATTGTTGCTAATGTTTAAAAACAAAAGCTTGCTGAATGGGAAGTTACAGATCCCCTCAGCATCTAGAACGTTAATTGTTAATTTGTTGTAGCTGGCATCAATGGAATGCACGTTTTTCATTGGGAAAAACAGGCTGAAGAGCGACAGAAGATCCATTTCCAGGTCACTGTGACTAATGTCAAGCTCCAAAACTCTGTCCAGCTGATCTTGGCAGAGATCCGGATCCAGTTTTAACATCAGCTCATCCTCAGAGAGTTTGCTGTATGACAGATCCAGTATCCCATTTATTGGTGCTCCGCAGAAATTAGGCCCTAATGTGACTGTTGGAGAGACTGTTACATTTTTCTCTGCTCTTCGAAGAAGATTCCCTGTACTTCGCCTGACTCTCGGCTTAACATTTTTCAGGACAGGTGGACCTCCTGAATGTGGCAGCTCCTTGTGGGATGCAGAAAGCTCCAGAGCGACCTCTGAGGATTTCTTACAAAGCTGCAAAGACCTGGAGGCTTTGCTAGTGGGTAAGAGCTCCAGGTGGGGTGGAAGACCTGATACAAGAAGTTTCTCATCATTAAATGATAAATTCATAGAAACAAGGCTGAGCAGACTCTCAAACACTCCAGGTTCAATGTCCTTAATCCAGTTGTAGGAAAGGTCTAAAACTTCCAGCGCGTCAAAACCTTCCAAGTCTCTCTTGGTTATTTTTTCAATTATGTTATGTGAGAAGTTGAGAGCTCTTGCTGTTTTTGGAGCTTGTGCTTCTGATAGAGAAGAGAGGTTTAAATAGGAGTAGTTATAAAACGGGAAGGCATAGCCTGTAGGTTTTCTCCGAGTTAGAAATCCATTTGCTCTACTGAATAAGAAAGAAATGAAGTAGAAATGAAGGTTTCCAGTAAGGATCCTCATCCTGAAGAAAAGAAATGTAAAATCCAGCATTATAATATGCTCTATGATAATGAATACCCTTTAAAAAAAAAAAAAAAAGCTAGTTTACTTGCAAGTACAGAAATTGTTTCATTAGTTGTATCTATGAATCCCTTTTTAATCTACATAAAAAAAATACATCCTGCTTTATTATTATTTTCAAAAGGCAATGCTAAAAGATAGTGTCAGAGAGCAATTTGAAGGAGAATGCTATTCATTTCAGATCACTGTAGATAAAGTCTGAATGATTTATTGTTTTTTCTTCATTTTTTAAATTCTTTCCCCCCACCTTCCCCCCCCACACCCCCCCAGGCCAGTAGTGAGCAGCCTTTACAGTAGCATCTTTCCATTGCACAATCCAAAATGCACTTCCATGACCGCTGCTCGGGACTCGGGTTTTACGTCTTTCATCCTGGTGCACAACAACCAGGTAAGTCTGACCCGTCCAAAACCTGTTCAGCTGCTGAAGCAGGGTATTCAAGAGTAATGTGACAGGGAGCTCCATGGAACTGCGTGAGCACGTATCTTCTTGTGATCCCATCCCCTTGGTGGTTTGCTCTCCGCCAAGAATTGACCAGTGACCGTTTATTTAGCCTTACCTATCGGAGTAAGGGAAAAGAGTAAGTTTGCTTTGAAGTAGGATATCAGGGGCTTGTATGAGGCAGCCTGTGCCAGGAGGGGTCACTGCCTGTGCGTCGTTCACCTTCGGAGACTTCCCTCTGCCTGGTAGCACCGCTGCCCAGCTCCCCTCCTGCCCCGGGTCTCTGTCACTAGTTTCCTGACACCCCTGATCCATGTCTTGTCTTTATTACCTGAAAATGCAGGTGCGGACCTTCAGGTGCGCAACCCGGTGTTACCTTTGCTGCCTGCCAGACTTGGACCATCAAGTTTAACTGAAGAGAAAGGACCCCAAGGACTTCCCTGCTCCGTAACCCTGGCCCCCCCCGCTGCCAGCAGGACCCCCTCAGAGCTCCCCACATCCCTCCCTCACGCCTCGCACCGAGCCGGAATAACCTGCAGCCGGGAGCCAAAGCACCCCAGGGGTAAGCAAGCCCTCCGGAGCGTGAAAAGCAATGCAGATTTAAGGCTGAAAGACAGCTAACACCTCCCTTGTACTTCCAGCGACCCTCCCTATCCCTCTTACCCCGCTTTTACCCGCTCTCCTCGGCGCTGCTCCCCCACTGGTACCTGCTGCTCCTGCCACCACGGCCTTTTATAGCACCGGGAGGGGAGTGGGGCGGGCTGGGGCACCTCCTGGGCACAGCCCAACCCCGCTCCCCTTTGGGAGGCTGGTGGAGGCGGCTTGTGCCGGAGATGATTCTCCCCAGTGAAATCAAGTTTTCCCCATTGTGCTGGCACCAGCAGCTGCTGAGGGGAAACTCAGAGGTGGAAGTTGCTTGTTTTAACACTTAGGTGCTGTGAGGGGTGCTGTCCCAAGGCATCTGCTGGCTTCGCTCCTACCTGAGCGTCACAGGGAGGGATCTGGAAGCCCTAAGTGTGGCCACAGGGTTATAAAACCGATTTATTCCTGTGATGTGATTTGTTGTGGGGTGTGTTTCCTAAGGTGGGAAGGTGTTCGTTTTGGGCTCTCTTATGTGTGAATATGAGGGCTTGCGTGCCAGAAGTGCTCCTGCAAAGTGAGCAGTCGTACCTTTTGTGCCTTTTAACTTGGGGAAAAAAAATAACAAGAGATTTTCTCGGTGTCTGTAGTGCTGGTTTGAAAGATGCACCCTTTGTTTACAGCCAGTTTGATTCAGGGAGTCAACAGATTGCACAAGGTGTAGAGCTCTGACATCTCGTCTGCTTTTTCTGCTGTTGATTTATTTTTTCCACTCTTTTGTAACTGCCGGTGACTGTAAACTCTTGTGGTAGCCCAGAGGCTCCCCTGTCCAGTCCTGGGGGGCTGGAAAACCCCAAGGTTGTTTGTGTTCCCTTTCCAGTCTGACTGGGCACTTTCCTGCCCCATCAGGTTCTGGGAATTTCCCTGAAGTCATCCGTTCTTCAGACAGATCCTAACTTGCTTTAGTAGAAGAGACAGGAAATTAAGAGCATTTGGGGCATGTTAGAAAAGATTCTTGCCCCTGCTTTCAACTTGGGGTGACCCCCCCTGTAGACAGCCATTTCCCCCTGATGAGTCTCACTTCCTTCATCTAAATACAGCTGTGCTGTTCTTGACACTGGGTCTGTAGTTCCCTCTTTGGGAAGATGGAGCAGCTGTATTCGCACAGGGCCTCTCAAACTGCATCTCTGCTGCTGGTCGTGAGAGTAAATCACGGTTGGAAGTGACAAAGTGGAAAAGAGTATTTTTCAGTACAAGAATGGTTATTCTACTGCCATGCTGTGCTGGCATTATTCTAACATTTGTTTCATCCAGCATGCGTTCTGTGCATTCATTTATTCTCCCCTAGTTTGTTTGTTTGTTTGTTTGTTTGTTTGTTTTCTTGAAGGCAACCTCTTATTTTGGGGGTTGTGGAGGAAGAGCAGCACATGAGAAAGGTCTGGGCGAGTGAGTAGGGAAAGGACACACAACACAGCGAGAGCAGAACCGAGGCAGGGTTGCGGTTCCCCACAAGGACTCAATAAAGAGATTTCATTCCTAAAATGGGTCTTCTTCCGCTTGTTCTCTGTCTCTCTGCAGGGGATATTTTTTTTTTGTGCTGGAAATGTAATTTGAGGAGAGCTGAACCTGTTCAGGACCTGCTCAAATCCAGAGAGGGTGAGCACCAGCCTTTGGGAGACCGGACCTTGAAGGAGCTTCTCTTATTAAGTTGGGCTTAGATTTGGGTGCTGGAGGAAAACTGTAAGTTGCATCCATACAGCTATACAAATAAGGTATTTATGACCAGGAAGTGCACTTGTCTGCCTTTGTGCAGGGAGAGGGAATAATACCCCACATTTCTTTACCACTTGAGAAAATCTTTCCAAGACTGATCATCTTATTTCACCCCTTCAGCTAAGCGAATCTTCCCAGTCTTGACTCACACATTGAGCCACTGACTCCTCTCAGCTGTGTCTATCAGCTGTGCAGATGTCTGACATAAATATTCTCTCCGGTTTTTGATCCAGTCTTGCAGCTAATTAATAATTGGTGAGTTTAAATGACAATTAAAAATGAGCTCTAGAATGAATCCTTATTGTCTGGAGTCTAACAGCTGCAATATTTGAGCAGTGTCTTTGAGTGGAAAGGCATTGCAATTATGACATGACTCTTCTGTAGAAAATTCTGATTTCATTTTCTGATATTCCATCACCAGGTCTTGGCAAGAAGTGAGCGCTGCCATCCTAACCCTGGTTTGGGTTGTGTAGGAGGAACACATGATGAGTTCTGAGCGTTCCTGTGCAGGTAAGTTGGGGGATTTAAGTGCTTGTTACTGACATTGGTTTGTTCAGCATGGATGAATTCTGTGCTTTGGGACCTAGGGCAGCTCATTCTTTGAACTCTTCTCATAGAAGTAAATATTTTAGATAAGTGGCATGTTTCACTTTCCCAAATCTAATTTCCTTTGATGTAATTCCCTTTGACTAATTGCAGATGATATCAGTATCACTGCTGCAAATTTGCTGTCTGCCTTACACATTATTTTCCACGTTGCTGATTCTTAAGTGAGCATGGAAACAACTACACCTCTCAGGCTGAGAAGAGAACTTGTATAATATCTCAGGCATAAATCTAAGCAGACCAGCACAGAAATCTGCAGCCTTCCAGTTGTGCTTTGTGCTTTCCACAGGCCAGAAGCAGCTTGTTTTTCCCTGGTTTTGGTAGACAGGTTCCTGCACCCCAGGGCTTGTCTGGGAGAGGGTCAAAGCAGCAAGTTACTTTCAGTTGCACATTTCTTTTAGATTCAAATGTGTTAGAACATAAAATTATGTTGGAATTAATAATTTCTAGCAATATCAACTCATGGTCTGTCATGCTTCCCTGCCTCCCTCGCCCCCACCTCAGTGGCTCTCTCCCAAATCAACTGTTGGTCAGGGAGAGATGGAAGAAAAAAAGCATCTTTTTTATGTTTATGGATTTGCGTGCTCACGGGTAGTTGAGATCCAGAGCAGGAACATCTGTGAGCATGTTACTTCTTGTGCAAGGGGAAGTAGAGGCTGAGGAACATGGAGAACTGGGTACAGATTTCATGGGTTTGGCAACAGTGTGGTTTGCTCCTAAAATAGTAAAAGTTGGCATTAGCGGTGCACTGGGGTGCTGTGGCTGCTTAGTCAGAGGTAGTGCTGCCCCATCACGCTGGGGACTTCCCTCCTGTGTAGGGAAGTGGAGTTCTTTACAGTGTTCAAAACAACTATTCTTATCTTCTCCTCTGATCTAATTACCACAACTGAGGGGTGTGCAGGAAGGCTTAGTGTACTGGGGTTTCTCCTTTTAATATGACCTAGCCTGACGGGAGGTTGTAGCAAGGTGGGGGTCAGTCTCTTTTCCCAGGTAACAAGTGATAGGACGAGAGGAAATGGCCTCAAGTTGTGCCAGGGGAGGTTTCGATTGGATATTAGGGAAAAATTCTTCACCAAAAGGTTTGTCAAGTGTTGGAAGAGGCTGCCCAGGGAAGGGGTTGAGTCACCATACCTGCAGCTATTTAAAAGATGTGTAGACATGGTGCTTGGGGACAGGGTTCAGTGGTGCACTTGGAAGTGTTGGATTAACGGTTGGACTCCATGATCTTAAAGGTCTTTTCCAACCTAAACAATTCTGATTCTCTGCTGAGGAAGGCTGACGGCGTCCTGCAGCGGGGCACCGTGGCACGTACACCCACATCAAACCCGGGGCTGGAGCTCTCGGCGCTCAAGAGCTCAGCACAGCACAAAGACTGTGCCCTTACTGCCTTTCCTAAAGCAGCTGAGATACGGGGCAGCCTCGAGTCAGAACTATTGCAAGGGATTGCACAGATCTAATACTTCCACCTGCTGCCAGAGCCTTAACGTGAGGATTCAGCCAGCCCACTGCAAAGGCAGCTTAGATTAGCTACGGCTAAAGGTGG